AGGCCAGCCACGTGGATGACAGGTTGAGCGCTGGCTGCCCCCATCCCCGTGTGTCACAAGGACCCACTTGCACGCAGCCAAAAGGCAAAGAGGTAAAGAAGGGGAGGAGGAAACCAAACCTGACAGGGAAAGAAAGATAGGGAAAGAAAGATAATCCAATTATCACAAAGCAAATAACACATCCCACAGATCAACGTATCTTTTTTCTTTTTTTCTTTTTTTATCGTCACAAAGTTATCAGAGCGCAAAGCGAAAAAAAAAAACAGAAAATCATATATATTGTCACACTCCGCGGAAGAGACTGGAGAGCGTATATATTGTCACACTGTGAATCAGAGCGCGAAGGCGAAAAAAAAAAAAAAAAAAAAACCGAAAGGAAAAGAAGAAAAGAAAGCCCCACCACCTGTTCAGCACCTCTTACGTACACAAGGCCAGCCACGTGGATGACAGGTTGAGCGCTGGCTGCCCCCATCCCCCATCCCCGTGTGTCACAAGGACCCCCCACTTGCACGCAGCCAAAAGGCAAAAGAGAGGTAAAGAAAAGGAGCAGGAGGAGGAAACCAGACCTCACAGAGGCAAGAGAAAGAGAAAGGGATCCAATCAAAGAAAAGACAAGGGAAAAAAGCAAATGACAAATCCCACAGATAAACCAATTGCCACTGTCGCTACAAAGGTCAACATATTTTTTTCTTGTTTTTTTCTTTCTTTTTTCTTTTTTTTTTTCTTTTTTTTCCTCCAGAAATTGTACTTTTTCTTTTTCTTTCTTTTATCTGTCCTACAATTACTGTTGCTCCTGATCGCTTAATTCTATTGACCAGGCACGAAGAGGATCCCCCACCCCACCACGGCAGATAGGACAAGCACGCTGAGGATGATGACGTGGATGTTCACAAGGATACCCATCAGGAAGAGCTGCTTCAGCACAGCATTCAGCAGGACGGCTAGCACGGACCATCCCATCCCATCTCATCAAAACAGTCCTGACAAAGGACATGCTGCCCACATGTCAAAAAAACAGCAGGACGTTCATCACAGTGTGGCATCATGCAGTCCTGATAGCGTCCTTGAGCATATTGTCACAAAGATGTCAGAGAGCAAAAGCGAAAAAAAAAAACAAGAAAAACAAATCAATTCATTTCTTATCTTCTTACTTACAACTCCCCCTGTTCAAAACCTCTTGCGTACAAGGCCGCCCACGTGGATGTAGGTTGAGCGGCGGCTGCCCCCACCCCCGTGTGTATATATATCGTCGTCACATAAATATCAGAGCGCAACACCATATATATATTGTCACACTGTATGTATAACCATATACATACATATAACCATATAACAATATGTATACAAATACAGATATATATCGTCACTGTGACAATATATATATCGTCAAACAGATATATATCGTCACAACTGGCTGGTAAATGGTACGCACAGAGGGAGAAGAAGACAACAAACGAGGGGCTGTGACAAACTGTTTCGTCGGAGTTTCACCGAGTCATCATCAGGTATATATATAATATATATATTGTCACATGATATATACATCCACGTGGGCGGCCTTGTACGCAAGAGGTTCTGAACAGGGGGAGTTGTAAGGAAGAAGATATAAAAAAACGAATTCTTTCTTTTTTCTTTTCTTTCTTTTTTTCGCTTTTGCGCTCTGATGTTGTCACATGAATATCAGAGCGCAAAAGCGAAACAAAAGAAAAAATGAATTCGTTTTTTTTATCTTCTTCCTTACAACTCCCCCTGTTCAGAACCTCTTGCGTACAAGGCCGCCCTATACATACATATATGGGCCCACCTCAAGGAAACAGTGGTGATGCAGTCGATGCTCAACCGCAAGCGGGGTTAAGGTGAATTATCACTTACAGAATACCGTCGGTTAGGGCGCTCTGAACACCGTAGAGAATTCCAGCCTCCGGATGAGTCGGTAAAACTCCGACGAAACAATCTGTGACAGGCCCCTGTCAATTGTTCCTTTCTTTCTCCCACAGAGAGAGAGCGAGAAAGAACTTACAGTACTTTCTAGTATACTTATAGTACTTTCTAGTATACTTATATATATATATATATATTAGTACTTAATAGTACTTTCTAGTATACTTATATATATTGTCACAAGAGTATCAGAGCGCAAATGTGAACAAAAAGGACAAAAGAAAGAAATATATATAAACAGTATGACGCTCATGACAGCAGAAATGTGTGAGAGAGAGAGAGAAAGAGAGATTAAGAGAATGATGAACGATAACGGAACTCAGGTCAAAGACGTTTTGTCGTTTCTTACAGATAATGAGTCCATTGGCCTAGGATCACGGCGATGATGCTCCTCGTTGATTCAGAAAACACGACTCGCCGTTGTCATAAGTGTTACTCCTTCTTGATGTTGATGCCGAGGATGATGATGAAGATCTTAAGGAATATACAACGGCCCCATCATCGTTGGAAATCGAATCCCGCGGCAGTCATGAGGACAAAAAACGGCAGACGACTGGCAGGTGAGGGGAGAAATGATGAAGCAAACTCCTGCGTCAGGGCAGCAGCAGCAACAGAGAGAAAGAGAGAGAGAAGTAATCAAAAAATGGCCAACCCTCGAGTGCGTGACACAAACTGCTGCCTCTTACTGAAGAAAGGAAACACGTTCCTCCTCCTGATGTGTTTCCTTCTCTTCCTCCTGATACTGAACATGAATTAAAAACGCGTAGCCGAAGCCGCGAAGACAAAGCTCGGTGATTACCGACAAGATGAAAGGTAGTCTCGACAAAATGGCAGCCCGCCACCGCACCGCTCTCTCTCTCTCTCTCTCTCTCTCTCTCTCTCTCTCTCTCTCTCTCTCTCTCTCTCTCTCTCTCTCTCTCGCTCGCTCGCTCGCTCGCTCTCTCTCCTTCTTTTGTCTTTGCTGATGTAGCAGTCCTGATGATGCAGTTTCGGGGGCGCAGTCGGACGTGCAGTCTTTGATTCACAGTCGGGACCGCCTTGATGACTCACAATTTCTCCTCCTGGCAATGTTTTCCCCTTTCTCCTTTCTAGTGATGTTTCTCCTTTACTCCTCGTGATGTTTCTCCTGACTCTTCTCCTGATGCTTCTCCTGACTCTTCTCCTGATGCTTCTCCTGACTCTTCTCCTGATGCTTCTCCTGACAACTGACGCTATGTTTCTCCTTTTCTCCTCCTGGTGAAGTTTCTCCGGACTCTTCTACTGAAGTTTCTCCTGTCTCTTCTCGTGATGTTTCTCCTCCTTGTAGTGATGCTATGTTTCTCCTCTTCTCCTCCTGGTGAAGTTTCTCCTGACTCTTCTCGTGATGTTTCTCCTTTTTCTAGTGATGCTAGGTTTCTCCTTTTCTCCTCCAGGTGAAGTTTCTCCTGACTATTCACGTGATGTTTCCTCCTGGTTTTAGTGATGTTTCACCTTCTCATCAGCCATACCAGAGAACAGACCTCGTGCCGTTTTCTCCTGGTTCTAGTGCCATTTTCTCCTGGTTCTAGTGCCGTTTTCTCCTGGTTCTAGTGATGTTATCCGTTCTTCTCTTCAGCCTCGCAGAGGACAGGAGTAAGACTCTGAAGCTGAGACATAGATGGGAGACGTTTCACTGACATGATGACACCGAAGAAGATGCCTTTGGCAAATTGACAGCCCGGACTTATCCTCCCTACCCTCCTAATCCCCTCTCTCTCTCTCCTTTCTCCTCTTCTGCCGTGGCAACGAGTGCCGCGAGAGTGCTCAGTCACAATCGGAATACCCTGACGCCGCTGTGTTTTTCGAATCGGATACCCTTTCCCAGCAAAGAGACCGTACACCTTGTCGTTTTTTTTTTTTCCTCCTGACTTCTCTTTTTTCCGTTATGTCTTTCATCGAGCGCGGGAGGCGATAGAAGGACCCAAAGTGTAGGGCAGAGCGAGAAGCAGACAGGAGCGGCGATAAATACAATCGTTATCTATCGTTACGCGGGAGAGAGAAGTGCAACGCGAAATGAGGAGAGCTGCGCTGGCTACCACAATCATGCCACAGCAGCAACAGATGACGGCAGGACTGGAGCAAGGGCAAGCAGGACATCACAAAAGCGATTCACAGGACAACAGAAGAAGCAGAAGAAGCAGAAGAAGCAGACGAAGCAGACCAAGAAGCAGAAGAAGAAGCAGACAAAACAGAAGAAGAAGAAGACGCAGAAGAAGAAGCAGACAAAAAAGAAGCAGAAGAAGAAGATTGAACTGCGTAGCCTGTTCGCTATGGTAGTTGTCTGCAGGAGCAATCGATCAGTGACGTGTTCAAGGGAGCTGTACGTAGCTCGGAGAAGGTATAAGATCCCGACCGACGGCGGCCGGTTGTCTGCGAAACGAGACGTGATTTGTCGGCTGGTTCCGCACCAGCCAGTCCCATCAAGGGGCTGTTTGCTAGCCCGCCCAGAACCTGCCAAAACTTCCCACCCGCAGAGTATAGAGGCCCGTTCTGCCCTTGAGCTCTAGACTGCCTACATCGAGATTATCATGCTCCGGGAGAAACTAAAAAAACGACGAGGGAAAGAGAATTACTGTAGATCTCCTTAGGACCCACACGTGATCTGTTTACAATTGCTCATGTGTGTACCATTCAGCCACGTGGATCGGATGCGAAAAAGGATAGACAGGAAACGAGTGCAGGAAACGCTAGGTTACGTGGGTGCCGACAATGCCCCTGAAATGGTGCGACTGGACGGAAGAAGAAAGGGGGGGGGGGGGGGGTAGCGCAAAACATCGATGACGAATTTCGGCTGCGATGGAGCTTCACACTCGCAGATCGGGATCAGGGCATGAAATTCGTGACTGCTGATTCCTGGAGAGATTATTGATAAGAGGAGCGACTGCGTGCGCAGATGGGAGAAGAGGAGGAGGAGGAGGAGGAGGAGGAGGAGGAGGGCAGAGAGAGGAGACGGATAAAGAAATCTAGTAAGAGATGGTACTCCTCTTCAACTCAGTCCTCTTAGTCTTTCTTTCCTAAAATGAAACCCCGTGGATACGGCTCCCTCCTACAATCACCACCACCACCAGCACCCTGCTCGTTGACGTCTTCTTCACTAATTAGGAAACCCTGCCTGTGGATATGGCTTCCTCCTACAATCACCGCCACCAGCAACACCCTGCTCTCGTTAACGTCTTCTTTCCCAAATAGGAAACCTCACCACCACCACCACCACCCTGCTCGTTGACGTCTTCTTGACTAATTAGGAAACCCTGCCTGTGGATATGGCTTCCTCCTACAATCACCGCCACCAGCACCACCCTGCTCTCGTTAACGTCTTCTTTCCCAAATAGGAAACCCCCGTAGATATGGCTTTCTCCTACAATCACCACTACCACCACCATCAGCACAAAAACCAAGTGCACGGAGACCCATAACCTAACAACCCTCGTCTTTTTTCTCCATACAGTAAGCCCGCACACCGCCTCGTTCCAAGACTTTTCCCCGTCGGGCTTTGGTGATGACGTCCGACTATTGCCGCTGCCTCCTCGGTATCACCGAAGGCGAACACTGTGAAAGAAATAATCATTAGCGGGCAAAAGGAAAGGGGGAGGGGGGTTAGCGAAACCATCGATCGCCAGTCAATTTCCAAATCCAGTCATCCCAAGTCCCAGAAATCTCTTCGTTCCATCTCTCTGCAGACCTATTGCTGTCGCAAGGCCATGTGAGTTCGCTGAATTGTCACAGAAAGTACCTTTTCTTTTCTTCAATTGACACAGAAAACACCTTTCTTCGACTGTGCTCCTCTCCACTCATCATGCTCCCACTTGTCATGTCCTTACCATCTTCTCGATCATATCCCTAATTTGGTACCACGGGAGCTAATACGTAAAGTAGTCTAATAAAGTACGGGTGCTGCTTCTCCCCCTCGCTTGTAATCACAGAGGCATCAAAACTGGTGGGGATTAAAAAAATGAAACAGGGGGGAAACACAAAAACCAACCCAAGGACTCTATCCGGATCTATGTGACTATTCAGACCACAACAATCCCTGGGTACACTGCATTCCCCCCTCCCGTGCCCTTACTCATATCGGCTTCTTCTTCTTCATCTCCTCCTTCTCCCTCTCCATCTCTCCCCCACGTCAATTCCCACTTCCTTTGCGCTCTCATCCCTGCATACCACTAACCAAACCTCTCCCAACTCTCTCTCTCTCTCTCTCTCTCTCTCTCTCTCTCTCTCTCTCTCTCTCTCTCTCTCTCTCTCTCTCTCTCTACACAGAGGCACACGCACACAGAGGCAAGCGATTACGACAGCAAACACCTGCTAACACTGTAGAGACGTGTGCGTATAACCCCCGCGCTTCGGCTGCAGAATAGTCTATGAACACGCGCCCTCGCGCTGTAAGACTGAGAGATCACACAAGCACCGCGTGAGAATGGGAGATTGCACAAGCAAACGTGGAACACGACACACCAGAACGGCATGTCATGGGAGGGATGGCGTGACGGGAGAGCGAGGGGATGGGCAGGGCAATTCGTAGAGATCTCGTTTTCAGTTACTTTGGAATTAAACCAGCGCGCGTAAAGGTACGTCTTCTGCATTCACTGGGGCAGTACGCGACGCCCGAGCCGTTTGGAATTCCGTTTTTTTTCAGTCGCATGACGACACCCCACCCTTTCCTCGGCCCGGCACTCAGCACCTACCTCGTCAAGGGGCCTCGCTCCACAACTCTAGACTCTAGACTTTTCATCGGTGACGCCTTCCTCCACCTAGGGCATACTCACGCTGCGACCCCAAATCCACAAAATATGAGGATTTGGGAGGGGCGATTTGAGGGTTTGGGCTTGGTTCCGGTCGCACTGCTGTACCTTTTCAGATGGGACAAGGCCCTGGCCGTCTGGACCAATGGCTTTTTGGTACTTTGTTGGTCACACGGCAGCGTCCACAAATTGTGCAAGAGCTTTCGTGAACGAATTGTCACAAATTCTCGAAGAAAATGCGAAAAGATAAATAGGGCATTTGCCGTCACCTCCAGAGGAGGCCACAAATTCCCTTGCCCCGCGGGTACACAGGCCGCTGACAAATGGGCACACGAATGGTACATTTAGGACTTCGGCAAATCTGTGTGACCAGTCCTCTACCTTTTGGGGGGGGAATTCGGCATACTCACACGGGGACCTATAATCCCAAAATCCCAAGAAAAAGGGGAAAAGGCCGGTCACACGGATCTACCAAATTTGCAAATGTACTATTCCAGTGCCCATTTGTCAGCGGCCTGGAAGCCGCGGGCAAGGTGACGGCAAATGCCCTTTTTTTTTTTGCATTTTCTTTAAAAATTGGCAAAAATTCGTTCACAAAAGTTATTGCACAATTTGTGGATGGCGCCGTGTGACCAGCCAAATACCAAATACCCATTTCTCCAGATGGCTGCGACCTTGTCCCATCTGAGGGCATACTCACACGGTGACCCCAAATCCACAAAATATGCGGATTTGGGAAGGGCCGATTTGAGGTTTTGGGCATGGTTCACGTCACACTGCTGTACCTTTTCAAATGGGACAAGGTCGCGGCCGTCTGGAGAAATGGGGATTTGGTACTTGGCTGGTCACACGGCGCCATCCACAAATTGTGCAATAACGTTTGTGAATGAATTTTTGCCAATTTTTGAAGAAAATGCAAGAAAAAAAAAGGGAATTTGCGGTCACCTCCAGAGATGACCGCAAAATCCCTTGCCCCGCGGCTTCCGAGGCCGCTGACAAATGGGCACAGGAATAGTACATTTGTAAATTTGGTAGATCCGTGTGACCCGCCTTTTCCCCTTCTTTTTGGGATTTTGGGATTATAGGTCCCCGTGTGAGTATGCCCTGAAAAGGTACAGTAGTGTGACGTGAACCATGCCCAAAACCTCAAATCGGCACTTCCGAAATCCGCATATTTTGCGGATTTGGGGTCGCCATGTGAGTATGCCCTTACTCTAGAGACCAACTCATGAAAACACCCTACGAGAGCTGTCAGAAAGCATTTTCCAAGGGCACTTACGAAGCATCTAGAGTTCACAGCCTGCAACGCTTCGGATTTCTAGCGTCCTCCTTCCTACCCCCCATGTTGCTTTTCTTTTTCACGAGTGTGTTTGGAGTCCCGGTCGTCAGACTGGGCTGGCGTTGTCTCATGGTGCACTAAAAACAAAAAAAAAAACGCTCATAGGGGGTCTCACTCCACTACACTAGACTCCAAAAAAGAATTGTGGGTGCTTCTAGAGTTGTCAGAGGTCTAGAACTCTTGAAAAAAGAAGCATCGCTCCACTTACTCCAGACTCAAGAACTATAGAAGCGCTCACAAATTTCTCTGCGCTACATGACAGCCCTCTTACAATGCTAGATGACAGCGCCATCTCGTTCTGATGGTCGGGGCAGGAGGCACACTCGCGAAAAAAAAGGCCGGAGCGGTAGGAGGGAGGACGCTAGAAAACCTGAGCGTTGCAGGCGTGAACTCTATACAAAAACAGACATGCAGCACTATCTGAGACCCACTTTGGAACTCTATACAAAAACGGAGATGCAACACTGTCTGAAAAAAAAAGGTCGGAGCGGGGTAGGAGGGAGGGCACTAGAGGCCCCTTCTTACTAAGTTGACCTTACGCTGCGTATGCCCTGGGCGCCACCATCTACGCATTTGCTTCTTTCGGAAGAACCCCCGAGGTGAGGCCCCGGTTGCACTTCAACAACCTGCATGCAGCACTTTGGAAATTGTTGAGGTAGGGGCCTCTCGTGGATATCCAGGCCTGCCTTCACTGAATGCGGGCACGAGGCTTGTTGGGGTCACAACTACTGAAATAACAATAATAATAATACTAATAATAATACTAATAATAATACTAATAATAACAATAATCAGGGTCACCAGCCCGTACGTACCGTGACGGAGGACCCGAGCAGACTTCCGTACGTATGGGCGTTCGGGGTCCCGTACGGGGTCTGAACTCGACGGCGTTCGGCCCCCGCCAAAAATTATTTCGGGGCTTAAAAATAATTTGTTTTTTTTTATTTTTTTTTATGTGAGTTCTCTATGACCTGAGTTACATGCCTATAAATTTGAATTCATTTGTCTTAGCCAAATAAAAATTCAAAATTGCCAAAGATGGCGGTGTCAAAACATGCTCGCCCACAATTTTTTTCCTATTTTTTACTTTTTGTTTTCACTTGAGTTCGGGGTCTAAACAATTTTATTATTTTTTGAAATATTTTTAGTGGGTTTTGCATTATGTGAAGTACACATCTGTAAATTTTTAGAGAATTTAGTTGTGCCAAAAAAAAATGAAAAATCGCCAAAGATGGCGGTGTCAAAAACGTGCTCGCGCACTCACTAATTTTTTTTTTTTAAATTAGTATTTGTTTTTCGTTTTTTTTTTTTTTTTTCAAATTTGGTAAGGAATTTGAATGTAATGCTCAGACAAATCTTGTTTAATTTTTTTTTTTTTTAACATATCTTTTTTTTTTTTTTTTTTTTTTTTTTTGGGTCCTCGTTCGGCTCGAACGGTCGAACGCATCCCCAAGGGGTCCCATATGTTCGGGCATTCGGGTTCGGGCGTTCGGCCCGTCCCGAACGCCGGTTACCCTGACAATAATAATAATAATAACAATAAATAATAATAATAATAATAATCATAAAAGGAAACGGGAAATGACGGATAGACAGACTGCAGATTACGAGATCATATTGAAAGCCAGAAAGTCCTGTACTGTTCGAAAGGGAGTAATGCACTGACATTCCACCAATGGAAAACCAAAACTTTAAATCTGAATGTCGGTGAGAACATGCTTTTGTCATCCTTGACATAAGTATTCAGAGTTTTTCTCTTACTTGACACTCATCACCCAGACTACAATCACACAACTACTAACAACTACGAATTGACAATGCATTCAGTTGACATCAGTAATAGAACCGAAGTACACGAAGAAGTCAACCTTCAAGAGTTGTTTGTCAAAACTAGGTATGTGCCCTTACACTGTCATCCCCATCCTCTCTCTCTCTCTCTCTCTCTCTCTCTCTCTCTCTCTCTCTCTCTCTCGCGCGCGCGCACTTACACATTCACAGGCGAGAGACGTTTTCCCGCACTGATAAAAACGCACACGCATATACACACTGTAAGTTTTATGAATGTGTCATGTTAGTTTGAATTATCAGACTCACTCCCTCTCTTGTCAGGGGTTTGAGCCGCCAGTCTGCTTAGGGCCAAAAGGTTGTTGTAAAGTCGACCCTTTTACTTAGGGATATTGTCGATCCGAGGCCATGCGGTATATCCCTACCCATCAGCCAACTGCACCCTGGGCGGTCTATCGAGTTCAACCACCCTAATGTGTTCGTGAAAACCCAACGAAGTAGCGTGGAACAATTATTGCTTAATTCGAGTGTATAGTGAATATGACGACACGCACATATATACGTATACAGAAAAACACACGACATACGCACATACACGCGCCTTGGGACATCACACGAAACCCACATTGGAAACCAGAGATGCAAAGTCCAAATATGCGCAACTTAAAAGCCCCATCATTTACCAGTTTCGGCGATCCAGTCACCAAACATTCCTCGGTGTGAAATTCAACAGCCCAATACCAGCATCCTCATCAAAGGTACCGGGTTCTCCTTTCTACCCCCCTCTGTCTTCCTCTCCTCTCTCTCTTTCTGTGTCTCTTTGTCTGTCTGTGTGTCTGTATTTGTTTGTCTGTTTGTCGGTATTTGTCTGTCTGATTGTCTGTGTTTGTCTATCTATATCTGCCTGTCTAACTATTTGTGTCTATCTTTTTCTTTTTTTCTTTCTATGTATATATATTATATGTAAATATATATATATATCTAACTAGTGTTCGTTTTCTGAACAAAAAGGAGGCAACTAGTGACGAAGCACATACTTAGAATGTGTCGACGCAAAGACACATCACCCGTCTAAGTAGAGATAGGGCAGGTGCTGAAGCAGAAACGCAACATGTGGAGAAGCAGACTCAACACATCATGAAGCATCAAATGACTACAACGACTCAGATTGCAGGATCACCCAAGAGGACGACATATATCCTTCTTGCGCAGTATTCGTATCGGAAAAGAGCCAGAGAGTACAAATACACTAAGATTTTATCCAAATAAGAGCAATACAGTGAGCTTGTGAGCCAATGTCCAAGCCCGCGGGCCATACCAACGCAGTATTCAATGTCTCTCCTACTGTCTGGCGCCCACCATCCAGCCTACTCTACCTGTCGTGCCTATCCTACCTACGTTAGGGAAACAAGCTCACTTCGACTTTCACAGACCAATATACATGACATCAATACCAATGTCGACCACCTGCATACACCAAAAACACCCTCTCTCCCTTTTTCTGTGTCTATCTGTTCGTCTGTATGTCTCTGTGTGTCATGTTCGTTTGTCTGTCTTTGTCTGTCATGTCCGTCTGTTTGTCTTTGTCTGTCATGTCCGTCTGTTTGTCTTTGTCTATCATGTAAGTCTGTCTATCTCTGTCTCTTTCTCTCTTTACCTCTCTTCTTTTTCCTCCTTTTTCTTCCTCTTTTTTTATCTA